AGCACTTTGAATTTGGCCCAGAACCCTCCTAGGGAGCCAGTGCAATGTCCTAAACATTCTTAACAATGCTTAGGACCTTGCACTGTTCTTAACATTCTGCAATGCATTCTGGTTGTCCTGCCAGAAGTCTGGCCATTCTGGACCTGCTTCAGCTTTTGAGTTGTTTCAAAAGGCAGCCTTGCATCAAGGGCATTGCAGTAATCTAACTAAGTGGTGATCAGGACAGGAGTGACTGTTGCTAGGGCATCTTCATCTAGATAGAATCCCAACTGGCACACCAACCAAAGCTGGTGAAATTCTTCCTGGCTGTGGCTTAGATGTGCACTCTGAACAGGAGTCATGAATCCAGGAAAACCCCTAAGTCACAAACCAACTTTAGGGAAAGCATGACCCCATCCTGAATAGCCACTGGGATCAATGTTACTGGATTACTCCAATGTTTATTGACATACAACTCTCTTGGTAGGACTTAATCTGAGATTGTTTTGCACCATCCACAGCCTGACAAATTTCATGCGATTCAGGTTTTCCACAGCATCTCTGAGATGGCAATCTATAACTGGGTGGTCAGCACTGGGGAAACACCACACTGATAATTAAGGGCTACAGTGCTTCCCCTTCTCCATACTACTGAAATTTCAGGTAGTACAGCAGATTCAGGTACAGTGGAACCACAGTAGAACTGTGCCCCCAAATCCCAGCTCTTATAGGCAGTCTAGATACCAGATACCAAAACCATGGTTGATGGTACTGAATATGGCTGAAAGGTTTAACAGGACCAAGAGGGGTCCCTCCATCTAGGTCCCAAGGAAGCTCATCAACCTGAGTGACCAATGCCATTTCCATTCCATGACCAGCCCTGAATCTTGACTGGCAGGAATCCAGATAATCTATTTTCTGTAGGATCCTCTGAAGTTAGTTCCCCACCACCTAATCAATGAACTTTTCTAAAAAAGATTGGAGACTGGGCAGAAGTTAGCAAAGGTGACTGATTAAGGAAGTCTTGTTTAAGAGAAAACGTACCACTGCCTCCTTGAGAGCAGGTGGTGTTATGCCTCCATCAAAAGCATTGATTACCTGAGCTAGCCACTCACCCTTACCTAGCGGCCCAAAGAAACCTGGTGGGGCATGGATAATTGGTGGCAGAATTCCTATCACAGAGAACTCTCTTCACTTCCTCAGGCTGCCCTACAAGATCAAAATCCCAGATGAACGCACAAGATTCTTCCTCGCCCATCACAGTGAACTCTGCCCAACTGGCATCCAACCCAAGTAGATAAGAGCAACTTTATCCTCTAAGAAACCTGCACATTCATCCAATATACCTGCAGGCATTTTAGAAGAAAATATTTTCCTAAAAGAGATTAGGTTACTCTGAACAGGGCTGGACAGTGTCACTTGGTCACTGTATGCTGTTGGCAGAAAGGTAAGTGTGTGGTTTCTTTAGCGGCTTTATCCTAAAATGCCTCCATTTTGGCATCTCATATTGTATACAATTTCTGAAATGATACGTCCAGATCTAAGTCCTTGTGGGAAGTTATTCTTATATCTATTTTGTGGAAGCAACAATGCAAATGTTGCATAGCAAACATCACTCTCGGTGGAAAGTAGAATAAGAATTGATATGAATAAATAAAGTAAGAAATATTTTAGATGCAGTCTGAATCAGGGACCACCTTGCCAAGCATCAGGAAAAGGCTGGTAAGAGGGTCTGGGCTAGAAGGCAAGCCTTCTTGGTAGTGCCTCCCCCTTAATTAGTAATATGCTGCTAGAAGAAGAAGGGCTCAACTCTTCTTGCATGTCAAAAGGCCATTAAAATCATTTTATTCCAGTGACCCATGGATTCCTTGGATGATTGTGGACAGCCGTCTGAGTATAGTATTGATGATTACTATTGTTTGATTAATGTTGATGGGTGCATTATTATGTTGTTTGCTTTGTTGTTCATTATCCAGAGAAAAGATAGCTGCTATTCTTACATGGCAAAAAATGGACAGTAAAAAACAAACTCATCATATTAGAAAATTACAGTCCAGAACACACTTAACAGATTTATTGATATTTCGTTTATCACATTTTCCCTTTACTAAATATTGGTGGTGCCTGCTCTTTGTAGATATATATTTTTTGGAAAGAGGGCTTTTACATGATACACATATGTTATATTGTTTTATTTTGTAAATTAAAAGAAATAAAATACGTTGACTTAGCTGTAGATATAAACCCAGACCCAGGCATAATATTGCTCTTCGTTTCCATCAGACCCTTATAAGTCACGCGGCTTTCAGATACAGCTTAGGCAACCCTTTCCTAATCTAATATTATTCAAAATTTGGGGAATATAAAGGCTGAGGAATGCTGGTCTACATCAGCAATAAGGCTGACGTGTAAAGGCATGCAGTTTTCCTGCTGGTGATGATGTAAATAGTTATTTACACACCCTTTGTTGGTACTGTAATAAGTATCCTGGCACTACCTTGAGATCTCCCTACCCTTGGGAAGTATTTCTGGAAGGGAACAGATTATCCAGAAAGTTCTGGTAGCAGCTGTTGGCCTTTCTATTTTAAGACTGCAATGAAAGAAAGGTGGTGCTTTTTGACAAAACCAGATTAACTGTAGATGAGGTTCAGTTGGGGCCACTTGTACCTGTACAATGTGCAGAATTGTGCTGGCATAATTGCAGTGTTTTATTAAAGGTAATCCAGAACAGCTTTCACAACATTCCCTGTGTTCAACATTTCTTCCCATGGGACAGGTACATTTTGGGGGATAAGGAGTATTGTTTGAGTTTTCAGAATATGTCGTGGGCATTGCCTTGTAATGGTTGCTTTGGGAGGAATTGTCACTGGACAGTACAGCTGTCACATGGGCATGGCCAATTTATTTCCCCAGGATGGTCTTTATCATCTCACTTCTGTGGGTGGGCACATTTTAAATGAAATATTGGGATGCAACCATCTATATTTTTATTTTAATTATTTTATTTTCAAAGGCTAAGGGGCTAGGAAGGGTCCAGAAGTATTCTGACATAAATAAAGATGAAGTCAAAGAGCTTTGCAGAGGGCCAGCAATATAGCAGATGCCAACAGCAGATTCTCTAGGCACATATTATGTTGCACACTCTGGGACAGCTAAAGCTTGCCCATTAAACTTGTTGTATTAAGTATCTAGATATTGAACAGAATTCAGGAAAATTTAAGAACTGTTGTATCTTCATTTATTGAAGTATTTTCAGAAACTCACCTAATTCAGCTCAGTTAATATGCCTAAATTCATGTGTTTGGGTCAGGAGATTAGGCAACCTCTGTTGTTGTTGATGTGCTTTTCCGTGATTGGGGTTATTGGTTTAACCATGGGCACTGTGTGTTATATGTTGTGGTTGTGTTTTAATCCTTGTGCACTGCCCAAAGTCAGTGTTGTGATATGGGTGGCCATATAAATAATTTTAATAAATAAATAGGGGAATAGTAAATTTTAATTTTCCCACCTAAATATTAAGTAGATACAAAGGAGAACAAAATGCCTTCAAACGCTCTGTATGGATGGATTTCAACACGTTTGTCTTATCTAGCACCACAATCATGTCATCTGATACATAGCATATGTTTTCAATTACCTGTTGATAGATGATAGATAGATAGATAGATAGATAGATAGATAGATAGATAGATAGATAGATAGATAGATGCATTTTGCCAAGCATTTGATAGGCTAAAATGCCTACATAAACATAAGAAAAATCTTGTTGGATCAGATGAAAATCCAGAGAGTCTCACTTCTTGTTGCCCATAGTGACTAACCAGATACTGATGGGAAGCCTGCAAGCAGGATATGAGAGCATAGCAAACTCCCCAGTTTCTGACGTTCAGAGAATATGTTGACTTTGATTCTGGAAATAACAAATAGCTGTCATGAGTAAAAGCCACTGAAAGCTATATGGGAAGAGCTAATGTGATACTCAAATCTTATGGCCTTTAATTTGATATGCACCATATTAGATGCACACCACCTGCATATGCAGAGGCTGCCTTGGTCAGTTATTCGGGTCAAGTCTGACTTTGTTGAGGTCAGACATAACAACCCAAAAAGCAATTTGGACGATTGAGTAAGCTATTTGATCTAGAATTATATTTTGTATTCCCATAATGTGTTTACTGAATTACTGACCATGAATGAAACTATACATTTAATTCTGGGCTCATGATTGTTCATTTACTCTGCTACTTCTATTTTGACTATCTTTTAAACTGTCTCTTTCTAGAATAAAATAAACTCTACTCTGTATTACTTATTTCAGAAGAATGAACTCTTCTGACGAAATGCAGAAAGTCATGACTGCACATGCATACACAATTTATTTTTGGAAATGAATCAACTGATGTAGACCACATTTAGAAATGTAAAGCGGTTACTCTTCCCATATGATTTATTTGAGTTCTCAGAAGTGCTTTAAGCATGAATAGCATTGATGCTCATTATTCTTTCCAACATGCAAAAGGCACAAGAAAGTGAGAAATATGATTTTTTTTGTGTGCGCAAAGTGTTTTCTAATAAAAATACACAGCAAGAAAAGTAACTGAGAAAAAGTCCCCAAAAAAGGAGGGGGGGGAGAATAAAATTCCTTGAAAATGACTTAGAACTAATGAAAACATTATATTGTTAAGAGTCCAGAAAGATTCCGTTGATGAAAGACACTTGGCAAATTCATGGAAACAAGCTGGAGACAAAGACGTTGATAAGTCAGAATTTCATCTGTGAAATTAAGTGCTGTAATCAGAGAAAGCTATAAGATACAATTAAAAATTGTAAAAAAAAATTAAGTGAATTATATTCTAAACACAAGTTAATTAAAAAAAACTTGATTCAATCAAATTGAAAATACAAAGAGAAAGACAAATAACTCATTATCACCTTATGCCCAAACTTCACAAACTATTGTGATCGAACTGACTGCATCCGTTCTATTTCTCAGAATTTCATCTGTGAAATTAAGTGCTGTAATCAGAGAAAGCTATAAGATACAATTAAAAATTGTAAAAAAAAATTAAGTGAATTATATTCTAAACACAAGTTAATTAAAAAAAACTTGATTCAATCAAATTGAAAATACAAAGAGAAAGACAAATAACTCATTATCACCTTATGCCCAAACTTCACAAACTATTGTGATCGAACTGACTGCATCCGTTCTATTTCTGTTTTTTAATCCTTTTTTTAAAATCACCACACAACAACAGCTCTTAGAAAAGTCCTTGTTATTTGCATCTATAAGGGAAATACACGTGCTATGTGACTGAAAAACTTGGGGAAAACTTTAGAAGTGCCACAGAGAATGCCATCTCTTAATTTTGTAATTCATTTGCTAGTTATTTCCTGGTGGTGCTTGACTGTGCTAAAAGGCTATTTTGTTCCATAGGGGGTATAAACACACCCTGCCATTTATAGATTTATAATACTGACACCTAAAAAAGGCATTGTACAAGTTGAATATTTCTGTAGACTTGCTTCCTTGCAGTATAGGTTTCCTACTTCTAAACTATGGAATGTTACATTAACAATATAGTTATTGGTTTCAAATTTCATTATAGTTATTGAAGATTCATCATAGTTTCACACAGCACAGAGACATCAAACTAAATATCAGAACAGTCAGCACTAGATGTATTTTTTCTTCAGATACCAATAAGCAAAATATCCCATTCCCCCAAGAGATCCCATGAGGAAGGAGGCCCCAAAAAAGGATGGAGGTTTCCGTTTGACCAGCCTGAATGCATTGGGTACCACTGCTGAGAGGAGGGTAGTATGGATGTCCCCCAGGACTTTCCTGAAGGCAAAACGTTTTTGTATCCTTTCAAAGAAGTTCTGTAGGTTGGGTCTGCTGCCATCTTCCCAGTATTTCTTAGAGAGTCCTAGAAACTTAAGGCGATGTAGTGTGGCTCCCAGCAAAACATCGGCCAAGGTGAACACGCATCCGCAAAGCCAGAGGTCACACTTCTGCCCTAGAGAATGAAGCCACAATCATTATGTTGCACTGGGAGATGGAAACAAATGCTGCCACTGACCCTTACTTCATTGACTTTTTGGGGGGACCAATGAAAGTGTCTTCTAGTGACAGATCTCTGGCAACCACCTGGCTCTACACTTCCCAAATTCTATCATTCTTTTTCACAGATAAGGGGGAAAAAAGCCAAATAAGCTTGTGGGACATATTTTGCTGCCTGAAGAGCATGCAACTGCAGTAAAAGTATTTTGATAGCTGAGGTAGAAAATTCCATAAACCTTCCTCTCCAACCATGGTAATTTAAGTATGATATAATATATTAATTAACTAACAGTTTGCTACCTTTTCAATGACACTAAAATCAGCAGCTTGCGGTAATTATCTGCTTAATGCTAGTGCTGTCCCAACTGTGCATCTTTTATCACAGTCATCTCTTCAGTCTCAGACATATTAATAAATAAAGGGGGAATGGCTGCCATTATGATATTTATATTCTGTGTTTCCATTAGAAAGGGAAGGGTCTGACACAGTAATGCTACCAAAAAGCAGTACCAAATTTGTTTAATCACAGGAGTGTTTGAAAGGGGGGGGTGCATGCGTGTGTGTGTGTGAAATCAAGGCAGGAGTTGTGATCACACAATAAACCCTGACCTTTGCAACACATGTAGGAAAGGGGAAGGGCTTTGATCATGTGGTCACAGCTGCCATCTTGATGTTTTTGACTCCCCTGAAGACACCTTTATATCTATTTTTTCACCTTCCCCTCCTTTTTGAAAAGTAAAATCAAATAATTAAACTAATTAAGACTTTACAGACTATATTTGTTGTTCTTTCATTTTGAAAACCTGGAAAATTTGGCTTGCTTCCAAATTTCACTGGCATGATCTATAGGACCTCAGGGTGACAAGACAGGATCTTCCCTCATTTCATGCTTGACACAGCCACTCTCAAGAAAAAGACATGATAAGGCAAGTTTTCCCTTTCCAGCTGCTCAGCTTCTTCTGCTACTTCCAACCGAAGATGCTGGTACATCTATAATTAAACAACCTAAAGCTGCAACCATTGCTACAGTCTTCAAAAACCATGAAATCATCTGTCATGAAAATCTTTGTAACAGCCAATGTTAGCTGGAGCATTATGGGCTGAAGGCCAATAAGAGGGAGGAATAAACAGCAGCAGCAGCAGCAGCAGCAGCTAAAGTGCTCTGAGACTTTAGAATTCAGACAGACAAGCACCTGCCACATAACACCCCAGAGTTAACAACTGTTGATAAGACAGACAAAAAAAATCTGGAGACAGCAGAGTAGAAGAGAAAGAACTGGAGAAAATCACAAAATACAAAGACCTGCAAATAAAAATAGAACGAATATAGTTATAAGGCACTTATAACTATTGGTACTATCTGTGGCAAAAGAAACAAAGATAGTACCAATAGTTATAGGTGCCTTAGGTACAATCTCAAAACATCTGGAGTACCACTTGAAGACCATCAGCATTGACAAAATCACCATCAGTCAATTGCAAAAGGCAGCTTTACTTAGAACAGCTTGCATCCTGCAACGATACCTTTAACACCATCAA